AAACATTACGTTAGTTATCATGCAGCAGCATCGGACTGCAACCCTTGACGGCGGTAAATAGCTAGCATACATGTCAGAATAACAGATAGAAGCAGGTAACAAAGTTCTGTGATGACGAGTACAGAGTCATGATGTGGCCGCCGGCAATGTGGACCTGGTCAACACAGTCCCGTGACTCACCCAGCCCGAGCAGCTTGAAAATATTGGTCTGCTCCTGTGCCTCCCAGTCACATTGGAAGATTTCATTGTCACCATCGTCAGTAAGAGAGCCCAGCAGACTGGACCTAAGGGCGCCCTCACAGAGAAGAAGCCTCTTCTCAAACTTCAGCCTTGTGGCAAGCTCTTGTCCTCGCTCACTTAAATGAGGTCTAATGGCATAAACATCTGTAGTCAACGCTTTGTGTTGGCAGTGAGTCGCTGTTAGATGCTCAATGTCAAGCGCAGTAGCAATCGTTGTAAATCTGTACTTACAACAAAATGGAAGAACTATGGCATCTAAGATTAAGGAAGTGTATGCAGGATTTCTTGAGTGTCACCGGTCCACTGCATGCCGTACCTGGATTGTAGCATGCAGTCCGTCAAGGTTCCAGCTATGAAAGAGTCCAGAATGAAACTAAAGCTAATCTAAATTTCATGGATTGGTTATGGCATCGAGTAAGACAAATGCTCCAAGGCTGTCACCTGTGAACCTGCCAGCAGCACTTAGTATGTGCCTTGAAAGGAATTCCAAGTGAAACCTCTCTCTGACACCTCTCTATCGACTTCCATGCCCAGCAGCATGCCAGCATACATGGGAAGTTGCAGTCTGAAGCCGGCACGGGAAACCCAAAACGCTATCACCTGAGCATCACATGATAAAAAACAATGCTGACGCACCAGTCCGGACACTCACACAGACGACACCACTGCATGACCTGCCAAGGGCTGCAAACATCTCATTGACACTGACAACCCTCCTAGCCCAGGCCTGTTCTTGTTTCCCATTAGCTCCCATCATTGCAGTGTGCCCAAACAAAACTCCTTCCCTTCCGCTGCCATTGCCGCCATCACCATCCCCGCCATCGCCACCACCTGC